CCCCTTTTCTCTTTTTTCTCTCCCCCACTCTACCCAACTCCCTCTTTTCTGTCTCTCGCTCACTGCCATAGGTCCCCCCCATGTGAGATCTGCGAAGCTGAAAGGCGCCACTGACAGAACCACAGCCAGGCCATAGGACAGACATCCCAAACATCCACAGCCACGGAATGTGTCAACATCTTTGTGGTGAAATCCCGCTGACTCCTCAGTTGCTTTTCACATAAGCCTCGAGCTGGGCCTTCTGGGATCCTGCGGCGTTTAAAGGCGTACAACAATGCCTGGGAGGCCTACCTGCCCCGGATTGTCTCCACCCACGGTTGCTGTTTCAACACAGTGGTGACTGTGCCCACTACAGAGAGGATCACATCCATCTAGTGCATCCAGCCCTCCCCCTCTGCTGTACACTGACTCGGTGAAATACCCTGCCCGCTTTTTGGTATTTAGGAAGTACATGCCGCTGTCAACCAGATGACCTAGTGGACATATTTCCCAGTAAGAAGTGCTGAGCCATACGAGGGGATCCTAGTATTGAACATGACTCATGGGGAGGAGCCTGGCCCTGAGACACACAAGGATTCAGCTGTTCTAACTTATCTGGAAGGTTTACTGATGCATCCAGTGGTGGCCGGGCCTGGGGCCACGGCAAGTGGGAGGTCTGAGGCTGCCCACAGCAATCAGGAGCAGGGCGATAAGGTGGGTGGGCCCTTCCAACTGCCCAACCATGGACCCACAGCTCCCAAGGGTGGAACCAATGGGCCCACTCTGGGTTCTTCTCAGCACCTCAAGAAAGCCCGCTTACTGCGCTCGGGAGCTTGGAATGATCCAGGGAACCAGCGAATGAGCTCGCCCCCAGCGGAGCTGAATGGCCAAGTGGGAGGGATGCAGAATGGAGCACTAGAGGGATCTCCTCATGCTGGAGAGAGCACCCTGCTGGCGTCACTGCTTCAGTCATTTAGCTCGCGACTTCAGAGCGTGGCGATGTCTCAGCACTCTAATAAACCCCCGAGCGAGTGTTCGTCTCCATCCAAGGCGCCACCTGCAGACAAAGAGCCGCTACCTGTGTACGGGACAGCCTCGAGCCGCTTAAAGGGCCTGATGAGAAAGAGCAAGCTTCAGAATCATAGCAACACACCTTACAGTCGTCGCGGACACAGCCAGGACAGACCCCCGGAATCGCCTCGCTCAGCACACAGCGCCACGCCTCCCGCTGCTGCTACAGCTGCAGATTCAGTTTCCTGTGCAGAGCGACTGAAGGCCGTGGCTAACATCGTGAAAATCCGCTCTAGTCCGGCGCCTTCGCCTAAGCCCAGTGTCGCCTGCAGTCAGCTGGCCCTGCTGCTGTCCAGCGAAGCCCATCTCCAGCAGTATTCCAGGGAGCACGCGCTCAAAGCACAGCTCTCTGGAAGATCAGCCAGCGAAAGACTAGCTGCCATGGCAAACCAGCAGCACAACCAGGACAAAAGGCCACCCAGTCTGCCCGGAGCTCCAGACACGCTAAGCTCCTTAACAACCCAAAATGGAATGACAACAACCACCACAGTAACGACAACACTCCCTCGAATGGCCCTGTCAAATCCACAGAGCCCCTCTTTGCTGCGTGGCCACAGCCAAAGCTCCCCGCCCACTCCCCCACGTGCTCCAAGCCACACTCACAGCCAGCCACCTCGGGAGAAACGAGGCTTTGACTCGCGTCCAACCCGCCCACCCCAGACATGCAGTAGCTTGCTGCTGCTGCTGCTCAACAATCACAACAACCAGAAGCAGCTGACCAAGAATGGGCATTTGGAGGACAGCTGTGGCATCCTGCCACCAAGTGGCTCCTCTTCAGTCACCTCAGACAGCGAATGCTCCACCCAGGAGCGCAGCCTGACCAAGGACAGCAGCGATGCCGAGAGCTCCTACTCGAGTTGCTCTCCTATTGACCTCTCCATGAGAAGCCGTGTCAATATGCAAGATGGAGGGCTCAAAACGACAGTTCCCTCTTCCTGCGCCTCTTTCACCTCTACCCTCTCTACTTCCACCCCAGGTGCATTCTCTCCTCAAGCTTCTGCTCAGCCCCCCACCACAACTTTATCTCCATCTTCTACTGTTGTCTCCTCTGTTTCCACCTCTATTTCTTCCTCTTCCTGTATCTCTACCTCTTCCCTGGACAAACTAACAGAATCTTTAATAAACAAGTGGAAGCCAGAGCCATCAGGATCAAAGGTGTCCAAGGGCAAGGACCCTGAAATGAGCCCAGACCTAAAGTCCCACCCTAAAGTCACACTCATGCAGCTTCTTCTCGAGCGCAGAAATAATGAGATGGTTAAGAAAAATGTAGGTAACCAAGATTCACCTCTTGATGTAACTGTAGCCACCATGTCTCGAAACCAGCCAAAAGGACTGGTATCTTGGGAAGAGGCGAGGACAAAAAGCCCCATAGATAGGTCTGTAGCTCCAGCTCAGCCCCTCTACTCGCTTGGCCGTGACCCAAGCGGTGCTCTGTCCCCATATTCCTACCCTTCCCCCAACGTCCAATCCAGCCCACTGGATTTGTGTAAATCTAAAACCTTCCCTGCTGAGAAGGCCTCAGAGCCCGCCTTCAGTGCTAGTAAACTGTTACAGAATCTGGCTCAGTGTGGGACAGCTTCCTCCCCACCCACCCCCTCTGGTAAAGGGCTGGGCCAGGAGCACGATGCCAGCAGGCCCCTTGCCCTTTTGGAAAGACTCAATGCTCCAATCGGCAGGACCACCACCACCACTCCACTCTCTGATGGAGCCTCAGGTAGTGGCACGCCCTTCAGTAGGAAGGAAGCTTCTCCTCCCTCATCACAGATTGAGAACCTTCTGGAAAGGCGCACCGTGCTGCAGCTCCTTCTAGGAACAAGCTCAGCTACAGCGACTGTGAGCCGCAAAGACCGGCCTAGTGGCAGTGGCAGGGGGGGTGTGGGGGGAGTGGGGGGATGCAGTGAGAAGAACCCTGGTGCTCACGTCACCTGCGACAGCTCCAACGGCCCCCCTCTGGATGTAAAGGTCAAATCGGAGCTCATGGAGGACGTGGGACCATCCTCTGCCATGTCTGAGGACGTGATTGGCAGAAAGAGGCTGAGTTGCTATGAGAAGAGTAGCCTCGTCTCAGATTCCCAGCAGGACTTGAAGGCTGAACCCCGGCCTGCAGAGGTCATAGCAAAATATGGCCTCCTCAGCCAGTTGCTTAAACAACAGACTGCTACCTACTATACCAGTGCTGCTATGCAGGCTGACACACAGCTCAGACAGGTTAAAGAGGAACAGAGGGAGTATCCGAGCCCGAGCCCTAAGAAGAGGCGGCTCTGTTCAGATCGGACTGATAATTTGAGTAACATCAGCTCTCCGAGAGCAGTGGACAGCGGTGACACAAACATGTTTGCCTCCTCTGTTGTTCCGGTAGAGCCTGAGCAGCAGAGGACTCTAAAGGAAGAAGAGGTTCCTCCAAAGAGCCCACCGAGTGAAACCCTTACACGAGAGAGCCGGGGCTTCAATGTGCTCAAACAGCTGCTGCTCTCCGACAACTGCCTAAAGGAGCTGTCCCAGCAGCCCCGGGGGGCGCCCAGTCCGTGCGTCCTCCAGACCAACGGCAAGGCCAACGGTAGCATTCTCACTCAGCCTGCCCAAAATCACAGCTTCCTCCAACTGCCCAGCTGGCATCCCCACGGTTCCCTCAACTCAGGGTTTCCAAGTAATCTCAGACCGCTACCCACCCCTCCTCCAGGCGACAGTTCTCTGCGCTCCCCTTGGAGTCGCCACCCGTCCCCGTGGCCCATCACTCAAAAACGGGAGACGCCTACTTTAGTCAAACAGGAGCCCGAGAGCCCCGTGCGGTGGAGTAGTCAAGAGAACGAAGAGGAGGACGAGGGTTGCGACTCAAACCCAGACTCTCCACGGCTCTCGCGGTCCAACCCCATCCTGTATTACATGCTGCAGAAGGGCAGCATCCAGCTAAGGAAGGAGGGGCGAGATCAGGCAGAGGGAGCCCATTCTGTGGTCAGAGTTAAAGAAGAGCCTATCAGTGACATGCATGCCTATGAACGCAGCCTGAGCTCTACCCCTCAATCGCCCGCCCACAATGACAAGCACAGCCACGAGAGCCAGGGGCTGAGCCAGTCGTCCGAGTAGAATTTGTATCAACTGCAGAAAAATAGAAATGGAAAGAAATTCACTGACTCTGTTTGTTTTTCTTTTTTTTTTGAATGACTTGCCAAATTGGTCTGATGAGACAAATGACAAAGAATGCAAATTGAATGATTTTTTTTTTTCAGGTGGCATAGAGCAAATTCAGATGCACTTCTGCGTCGCTTTTTAAATAGTGAGGTCGTGGAACGGTACAAAACAGCTGTATCTTAGCAGAATGCCACAAAAGCCAAAACTGTGCATCAGTCACAGATCAAACCTTCCCATCACTGATTGTCATGCACTACATTTTGTACTACGATGTTAATTACGGAGCCCTCCTTTATTATTATTGTTATTTTTCTTTTTTTTTACACTTTCTTACTATTTGAACTGTACACATATCACTACTCCAAGTCCTCCTGTTGCCTGCCATAAAACATTTAGAAAGAACATTTCAAGCGACATCCATTATTGATGACTCTAAAAATGTTAGTGCTCAGTTCAGTGGACATTTATTTATTTTCTCCATCAGAACATTTCCAGATAGGCAGAGACCCATCAATTTTAGATAAGATTCCAAATAGTCACGGCGGTCTATTACAACAGTGTCCGTGCTGAAGTCATTCAGAGGACCTTAAAAACGGCATTCGGCGAAGATCCCGCCGATTCACGGCGTGGCACAATTGCCAGTGGAGAAGGAATATATATCGTTGGCGCTTTAAACGGTCACGACTCATTGTTTTCGCTTTTATTTGAAGTGCGTGTTTCGAGGCCGATGTTCGACAGTGCAGATTCAGGGCACTGTGTTTGCAGATTGAGCCGTTTGGAGCAGATGGGTCAACAGAGCGAGCGCGGCGCTTACAGTTGAGCAACTGCGTGTAAGCAGGTTTCTAGAGCAACAGTTAAAAGGCAGTGTGTGAGGAACTTATCTCGCGACCCTGGTTAAACCCAAGGCACTTTTCTTCACGCACGCAGAAACTTTCGAGTGTGACGCACATCACGGCTTTTTCCTTTTCATTTCACTTAAAAGGAGCACCCAGACTTTGCACTATCGAGTCCTTGGAGTCCTTTTCAGAATCATTTAACGGCATGTGATAATAAAAAAGAAAAAACAGTCAGTATTGTTATCTGTTGAGAATTTGACAGTTTGTGATTTTTTTTTTCCCTTTATTTCTTCACTATTGTGGTTTATAGATTTTTTTTTATTGTTATTATTATTTGTTTGTGGCAGTCTCTTATCTCATAAAATGTCAAAAGAATTGCATGATAATAAAGAGAAGACCAGAGGTACATCTTTGTTTTGAAAGCAGCTGGATGTGTGTACCTGCCCCCAGCAATCACCAAGACCTTTCGGTGTCTTGAGGGATCTCTGGTTGATCTAGCTCCTTATTTTTGGATCGTACTGTACTCTTCAGTTGATCTCACATACTGCTTTATCGATTTTAGTCTCGTGATCTTTTTACTACATATGAAGTACGTCTCTTCAATTATTAATACATTTTCACAATGGTTAAATATATTTGTGTAAATAGTACTTTCAGTATGAAAGATGACTATTTTGTAATGTTTAAGAAAAGATATTACCCTAGTTTTTAATGCCCTGATATGTAAATATGAATTATATGCGTACAAGTGTACATACAAAGGCCGAGGATGCTATGCCCATCGTTTTCCTTTTTTCTTTATTTTCTTTTGGTTGGTTTGTTCTCTGCATGTGTCTCTATGTGGTAAATGATAATCTATCCTGCGCTGTGTTGTGTAATAATGTCTGACTTTCCTCACTGCTGCCTGTTGCATGCAGACGCATGGGAACTACCTGTGTATCCCTACTGGTGATGGGGGAAAATGTCAAGTCTTAAAATAGGTCTTTTATATCACAGAGAGAGAGAGAGGCTGGTTTAGAATATGAACAGTCCCTAAATAACCACAGACTGTTGAGCAAGTTGATTTTAAAACAAAAAAAATGTGTGGAAAAATAAATGTGCATTGAATATTTTTGTGATTATTCTTTTCTGTTACTGGTTAACAAAGCTCTGTGGAAGAGTTTGGGGGGATGTTAGGTGGGGGATTGACGTACAATCATAGATCTGCATTGTGCATCTAAGAAATACATTTGTAGCAGCAAATATATATATAAATATATATATTAAAAAAAAGGATGTTTCATTTTTTTCATGTGAAGACCTGAAACATTATTTCATTTTTTTATGTTTTCATTTTTGGTGTTCATTTGCACTGATATCTGAAAAATAAAGGACTAAAATGCATGACCTAGTATGAATGTGTTCCTCTCTTTCCAGTTTAGCAGCCAGCAGTGTGCTGGGACAAATGTCGGGACCGTGTTTGCTCTTTTGTAGC